CAGAAAACTGACCTGGAGCCTAAGTCAGCACGTGGAAAAAAAGCTGTTTTGTTCCATTGTGGTCATGATCAGCACCTGGTGTGTGGCAAACACACCTCTACAGAGCTTTTCTCTGGTTATGGATTGTCTTAGCTTGAGGAGACACTTACTAGGCTAATTTTATATCTACTTGGCTGGTTTTTACCCCTTTCTCTAAAAATGATTCTGCCTCTACTACAGTGAAGGAGAACTCTTGGTTGCTTTGCATGGCTGTGGGGCACCACGGAGGTCAGTGACAAAATCACTCTGGTGCTCTCAGCACACTGGGAAAGGCTCAAGCTGCAAAATCCCGGCTGAACCCCTGCAGAGAAGATGTCACTTCCAGGGGTGGCTGTCCCTGGAACAGTGTCTGGGTAGGGATTCAGCCTGGAATCCCAGAGCACTCCCACAGGGAAGTGCTGGAAGCAGCAGGAAGAGAAGCGCTGACCTCAAAGGCGTGAAAAGGCAAAGACAGGGCATCCTAGGAAATGTTATCCATATGGATAAGGAGAAACCAACACTTTAATGCCCTTGCTTCCCATTGGAAATGCCTGGGTGTGACACTGCTTTGCTGTTTGCCACAATTTTTGGTTCTGCCTCCTTTTTCCCCCTTCAGAAGTACTGAACAAGCAAATGGGAGAGAAATAGCAGCTTGCAAGGTGTGTGGATGCCTACACGTGAGTTAGCTGAGGGTGAGAGAGATGTGGAAGTTGTTTTCTAAGCAGGATTCTTCTACTGTCTATGGAAATAACACAATTAGGGTTTCTAGCTCCTGAGAAGACAATAAATAATGTGCAGATATTGGAAACACAGACAGCTGCTTCCAACTCTCACCATAAAGTAAAATCCCATTATCAAACTCTTTCCTAATAATTTCAAGATATTTAGCTGGTGGAACTGAACTAGCTCCAAATCATATAGCAGATAAGGCTTTAAACCAGAAACTTCAGGATTATAAATGCTTTACAAGTGATAAAAATCCCAAGGCTGAAGGTTTTGCTGCATTGCTCTCATCTTCTACAGTCAAGACCATCACCTGAGTGTAAAAATGCTAAACCCTTTTGTCTGTACTATTCCTTCCTAATGACTGTGTCTGAAACAGGGATCTTAATATGCAAATTTGCTAAATTATTCTGAATAAAGACAGATTTCAAAGAAACAAAGCCCTGCTACTTTAAGAGTTTCTCCAATTTGTTTTTAAATAATGTATTGTTTTAAAACAATATCGTCTCAGTGATTCAATTAGTCTCTGAAAGCACTAAAGGCAGCCTCATGAGGCAAATTAGACAGGGTTTTTATGGCAGAATTAATATGGCAAATCCTCATATCATGTGGAGCTTTATGTGCTTGTAAATGTAAAAAAAAAAAAAAAAGGTGAACTCTGGAGTATGTAGTGGAATTACTATCATCTGCTCCAGGACCTCACAGGGTCTGGAATTGCCATAGTAAATTGGAAGTAATTACTAATTCACAGCAGTTCAGGAAAGCTTTCTGACCAAACCCAAGATTAATCTCGTGGAAAGTCAACAGGAGTAAAGCACGTGCTAAAATTTTAACTTAGGTTTTTTCCTGAATCATGGCTATTCTTCTGTTTAAGTACCTAAGGTCTGATGACTGTGCACGGTTTCTCTTTGTATTCAAATCTAGATGAGGGATCCTACAAAGCCAAAGATAACTAGTTCTGAATGTATGTAACATTCCACATGCATTTCTGTACAAGAACTCATGCAATATTGGCATTAATACAGACTTCACTCTATGCTACAGCTGAAATGCTCACTGACTTCTACTGCCCAGGCATTTCTACCTAGAAAATTGCTTCTTGAAACTTGGGAGTCTGACCTCATACCCTGTTTTCTTTGTGGCTTCTGCTGGTTTGAATGGCTATTTTTCCCACTGAATAATTAATTTTAATTCTTTTAGGCCTTTTCAAGGTCCCCCTAATTCCCTGAAGGAATTGCTGGGCTCAGCCCCACCACAGGATGATCCTCATGCAAACAAAGCTGCATTCCCAAGGGAGAGCTGGCAGGATCAGGTCTCAGATGTGTCACCAGGTGCAGCTCAGGAGGAAGAGCTCAGTGATCCTCCACCAGGAGAAACATCTCCAAATAATCAAACAGAGCTTTGGGCAGGAAGGAAAGGAACCCCTTCTCAACAACCATCCAAACAAAGCATCATTCCTCCCTTGGGATCCTGCTTTCTTTACACAAACTGGGTGAGAGCATCTCCCAGATTCCTTTCCTCCCAGCAGCAGCTCCAGCAGCTCAGGCTGCAGAGACCAGCCCAGCTTTGGGTTTCCTGGTGGATCTGTGGTGAGTGAGTGTCCTGCACTGAGCAGCACGAGAGCCTGGGTGGGACTGCATGGCTGGTCTCCTGGTTTATCTGAGGAAAGGTGGCAGGACAGGCTCACCCTGACTGTGACAGGAATGGCTCTGTCACAGTGTGACAGCACCCTGGACTGCAGTTCCAGCCCATCCCTGGCAACTGCTCAGGGCCCCTGGAGAGGCAGAGACTCAGGGAGGGACTCTGAGATTTCCACCAGCAGAACAGAGGAGGGGGTAAAAGCATGTCAAGTTATCTGTCCCACTAAAGCTTTCCCTAAGACAAAAGCTCTGATGAATAATATTATTATTAGAATAACCAAGGCCTTTGACATCCTTATGCTTAAAAAAGTTCTTTTTGCTCACGACCAGTGTCTACAGTAGCACTCACAGGATTAAACAGCCAAAAATTAGCACCCATAACCAAATCTGCACACAGAATATTTCAGCACCTTCTGTTAGAGGATCTGAAAGCACTTGACAAATGTTAACCAACATTTGGCCTCACAACCCCCAGTGAGGTAGAACAGAGCTGTCCCTGCAGGGACAGACAGACAGATTGAGGCACAGGGTTACTCAGAGACCTGCTCCCATTCAGACACAAAATTCAGCAATGCCAAGGGCTTAGAGGTGTGCTGACTGCTGCACCCAAGCTTTGTCCACAGCACCATCCTTCCCCCCACAAACCCTCAAGGAGCCCTTAGCCTGTGAACTAACCCCAGGATTCTATTTACAATATTTAAAATGACCATTTAGCAGTTGTGCAGTCAGAGAGTTATTCAATTAAATGAAGCTATCAGTGAGAACAAATGGTTCCTTGTGCAAAACTCTGGCTGGAAATGATCATGCACTAAGACTACTGGGTGCAAATTTGGTGCATGATAACTCTGACCCCTTGACAATTCCCAATCCTGGCCTCTCTCTGATATAACTCTTTAAAAAGTTGCATTATAAGTGTGATCACATGAGCCTCGAAAGATGCAGCCTGCACAGATTGTTTCATCCCAGCAATGCAAGCAAACAAAACGTGGAGTGGCTTTGGGAACAGCCCAGCATTCATGGAGCATCGAACATCACAAGGATAAAATCCATCCTAATCACAAGGGGTTGCAAGGCAACAGGGAGTAGGTGTTTATGTTGGGGGAAAAAAAAGCAAAAAAAGCAAATAGAGCAACAAAGAAAGGCTTGATTGCACAGATTTCATTTAGGTAAAGTTCTGCAAGAATCAGTTTCATCAAAGCTTATTCCATGAGGGAGGGAGGCAATGGCAGCTGGCCTAGGACGAAGCTTTGGCGCAGTAAAAACCACCAGCCCTGCGTGAGGAGATGAACTTTGCGTTCTGGAGGAGGCATTACTGATTAATAAAAGCAAAAGCTTTCTCTAAATACAGCGAGTTTGTTTTTCTCAGATAGAAGAGTTTCTTAAAATACAGGTTTTTAGAACACCACAAAACTTCATTTGTTATATAAGTAGAGAATCTGGCCATAGTTAGGAATACTGAAGTGTAAAAAACCAAATACGTAGTCTTAAACATTACAAAAACTATCAAAACATTCAATATTTTGAATTGACCATTCCCCCCCCCCCCCCCGCACGTGTCTGTTTTGGCAGTGATGACAAGATTTCTAAACTGAGTTGCTGTTATTATTGTTCTGCAGTTGTGGTTGGTTTTTTTTGTACTTTTTTTTTTTTCTGAACGTGTTTTTTAAACAAAAGAAAATTACCAGCTTTTATAAAAAAGAAGGAGCTTGAATCCTTACTCCCAAAACACAGATACAAGGTTTTCCTTTATAAAAAGTGTATTGATTTTTTTGCTATAAAAAGTGACCTATAGGGTGTCAAACCTGAAAACAAATTCTCACAGTGTTTTCAGTGTTGGCTGTTCACAAGGCATTACTGTTACAAACAGAGATAGAGAGATACCATAGGGGAGGTATAAACATTTGTTACCAGCTAGCAGCACTGCATGTGGAAGGTGTTCTACTCCAGATAACTCAGCTGATTTATGGTTTTTTGCTTAATTATTAAAAAAAAAAATCCCAAACAATATTTGAATAATTTGAATTATTGTACTAACCTTACTTAGCATCTGACACAATCATTCCTAATCTCATCCAAGCTTCTGCTGGCATATTAAGCATCAGACTAGAAATCCCCTTCCTTCCTCCACAATAAAACCGAGACTCTTTAGGGTGCAGGTGCCAAAACTGGGGCTGTGAATAATTAGCAGGTGAGCTGGCAGAGGCTGGCAGTTTGCACAGGTGGAGAACATAGAACATCATCTGCCCTGCTCCAGCCTGCAGACTGCTCAGCAAGGGGTCCATTTGCACACCTCCAGGGGAACTACTTTACTAACACTAGGAAAACCACATGGATGCAGCAGCAGAAGAAACAACAGAAGAAAATGGGAAATGCACAGAATCGTTGGCACGGAGGCCCCAAATTTCTCACAATGCCCATTTTGCACCCCTGTAACTTAGAAGAATGGTATCCCTCTATCTCTATAGACTGGCAGGTGTTGGTTTGTGGCACAGAGAGGAGAAATCACAGAACAAAAATGACATTTAACCGTGTGTCCTTTGACGTGAAAGCACCAGTCAGGATCTGCTTGTTGGGCAGAGGTACTTTGCTGTATCCCAAACACAACGTGGACATCTCGCTCTACATGGAGTCTCCCAGGGAATCCGAGTCATCCAAAGACAGGGGCAGGTACAAGTCCTGTAGGGAGAAAGGAGAAAATGTTAACACTCACCAGCAGCTCCCACCCTTGGCCACGCAAAGGGAAGCAGCTGAGTGGCTCTGGGCAGCTCAGAGGCTAAAATTCCCATTCCAGAGGGTGGAATGTGCTGGTGACTGGGCTGGGCTCACCAGAATCCAGGGAGCTCCAGGCTAAAATCAAGGCAGGCTCCTTGCACAGACGAGCAAGTGCATCTCTGTTCCTGACGACTGGTCAGGAATAAGTTTCAGAAGTGTTCTTTTATTGTTTGGGATCAATGTGGCCATTCCAGTAAGTGCATCTCTGTTCCTGATGACTGGTTAGGGTTAAGTTTCAGAACTGTTTTTTTATTGTTCTGGATCAATGTGGCCATTCCAGCACATGCACGAAAGAGCAGCATCGTGCCTTAAACACGTCTTTAAACCTAAGTCCAAAATAAAGTGTCTTACCTTGGTTTGACAGCTGCCCTCAGGACAAATCTCCAGGAAAATCACGTTCCATGGTTTATTCTTTATTTTAAGTAACTTCTAATCAATTGGAAAGGTTAATAAAATAATCCCAAGTTTATTACTTGGATCAAATGCTCAATGTAAAGCTTTTCCAGTGTCCCTTTCTGGGGTAACCATTTTATTGCATTTTTTTAAAGTCCAGAGTGGGACAAGGTACAGGAACCAGCTCAAGAGCTAAAGCTCTCCTGGGACCTTTTTGAACTCTGACCCACACACAGGTAATAACTGAGCAAAATGAAGAAAAAACCAAATATTCAGGAAGGAAAACCACAGAGATCTTGATGTAAGAAGAGGTAAAATAGGACTTTGTGGTGAATTCAACCTAAGCATTTATCACTTGAGCTTTAAGGGGAAAAAAGAAAAGTGATTTCATCATAAGCAGGAAATTGCTCCTGGGAGAAAAGACAATGATGCATGAATATTCTGGTAACCTAAAATGCTGCATTTGTGTTTGCTAATTGGCTTAGTGGAGAAAATCATAGCTGGGTTGGCTTTGCCCTCAGCAGTCACCATCTATTACAAATGGTCTCAGGGCTGCACTGGAAAGGTCATCAATCAGCCAGCTGCAAACGTACATAAAACACTAAAAAGGTGAGTTTTTCTTGTCTTGACCAAAAAACAAATCCTCACCTCCAAAGTTCTCAATGAGATGGAAAGTTAGAAAGTATTTAGTGTGCCTGATGCTGAAGCAAAGGATGCAGTTTGCAGCATTACTTCTGCTCAACTGATGAACTCAGACCATGGCCAGATTCTGTCCTCAATTATAAAGGAATAGTAAATCTGGACACACTGTGTTAAATTTGGTGTGTTTTCTCAAACTTAGACTGAGCAGCTGAGAACAGAGTGAGGTCCTGAGGAAAATACAGTTTTCATTTGGACTCAGCTATGCCTTTGTTAAACAGAATTAGTTCAACCCCTGCAGTCTGCCCCACAGTGGGCTCCACACGGCTGCTGACTGAAAAACCTCAGCACCACCAGAAGTTTTTAATTACTCTTCAAAATCTTTGAGTCAATGCTTTCAAAGTCGGGCTGAGAGGTGCATTCTGTTTACTAAAGAGAAACCCCTCTGACTTCCTCTCACACCTACATTTGTGTCCAAGCTCCAATTCCCGTATCAAGGGAAAACTGTTGGAAGCAGCATTGTGGCTATTCCAGAAATGCAAAGGCCCACGGAAATGAAAGTCAGAACTCAGCACAGAGTGGCCCTGAATAACAGGAACTGAAAAAGCTGTGACAGCTGCTCTACCTTTTAAATAAATCAATACATGAATTATCCATGAGCCAGCACAGGTTTCCTGATCCCTGCCAGGATGCTGTGCTACCTGTTGGCCTGTTCCACAACACGATTACCACACCAGCTGTAAGAATCACCTGTAAAACAGAGCACGGCCTTAAATAATTTAAAAAACTTAAATTCTTGAGGAGCATCATTAAAGTGATGTCTGAGAGCTCCAGTAACATTGTGTTGCTTCTGCTCTTTAATGGGCCTGATTTTCCAACACTTGAAGCTTTTCAGGCCAGGAGGGTTGACATGAAACCACATCCATCAATGATTTTTTCAAATAGTGACACAAGCTCGTGGTTGTCTCCTCTGATCCGTCTGGATGGGCTCCAGCACACATTATCAACTCCAGGGGAGGAGTCAGGCCAGTGCTTTGCTCAGCACCTTGCCCTAAAGGACAACTTTTACAGGTAAAGGCCAAACTCTGTTGTATTTGTCCAGGCTGCTCCCAGCCCCGGTGTCCAGCCTGGCCTTGGGCACTTCCAGGGATCCAGGGACAGCCACAGCTGCTCTGGGCACCCTGTGCCAGGGCCTCAGCACCCCCACAGCAAAGAATTTCATGTTAATGTCTAAACCTGCTCTCCTTTAGCTTAAGTCCATTCCTCCTTTGTGCTGTCACTCTGTGCCCTTGTCAAAAGTCCCTTTTCAGCCTTTTTTGAGGCCCTTTTTTAGGCAGTTTTTTCACATGGAATTGTTCCCTGATTGTTGTTTAGGTTTGCTGGGATGACTGGGGCTCTGGATCCAGAGTTAATTGTCCAATTCCAGCTTTAGCCCATGCAGTCCCATCCTTCTTGTTTTTCTCTCTTCAGCCCATGTTGTTTGTGCTCTCGGGCTGAGATTTGGATCATTTGTCCTTGGTCCCCAGCTAGAGCAGGAATTGTTTTGTCTCCCTGCTCTGTACAGAGATCTCACCATCCCCTAATGTGAAGCCCAGACCCACACACCAAAGCAGCACAGAATCTGAAAAATAGAAAAGCTAAAAGCTGAGGCACCAGGGCATTCCCCAGACATCTGCTGCCCTTGGACACACTCATCCCTAATGACCCCTGGGAGCAGCCCTGCAGCCAGGACAGACGGACACTCTGGGTCTGTTTGCTAATTGCTGCTGCCTGGTGAATGTGCTTTTGTCCCTCTGGCCATTACTGAACTGAGACATTAAGGTCCTGCAGCAGCCTCAGAGACCTGCTTGTGTTCTCCCCGAGCCAAATCAAGGCAAAGATGTTTTCAAATTTCAGTTCAGGTACTTTAGTTCAGTGACTCCATCCTGGTTGAAAAATCATAAGCTCTCCTATCACAGCACATGTTCTTATACAACTGAACCCTTGTTTGGTATGGCAGTTAGTGAAAGATAAATTCAAGTTTTTATAGCAAAGAAAGAATGCCAAATGGCATCATTATTTTCTCTCCTGTATTTCTCCCCTGAGATTTAGCTCTGACTTTTGCTTAGCCTGACTCCTTATTGGAGCAGTCTGTTAAAGAAATTTTGCCAAACTTCATGCTGACCCTGCTCCATTTAAATCTCATGGATCAGAGCAGAAGCACAGAGGCTCCCCTCCTCATGCCCAGTTTTCCTCTGCCATGTTAGGAGAAGGAATTGGCTGGTGCCCTGCAAGTGTGGTTTAGTATGGATTTCACTGCTCTAAGCTGGGTCTTTTAGCAAAGCTGACTCCCTAGGAAGAAAAAATGAGTTTAGAAATTCACAGAAGCTTTGTAACTCCAATTTTGACAGAAATCCACTGGCATTGCTTAGGAAGTACAGATATGGGTTGGGTGTTAGTGAAGGAAGAGAGAAAGGATTTCTCTTGGGAATTCAAGGATTGGGGTGAGTTCCCATCTCCTTAGATGGAGACACTTCTTTGTTCTGCACTCATTCATTTTATTTTCGTTCATTCATTTAAATGACTGCATGGTAAGAGAAAAACACCGTGCCAAGAAAACAATGTTTAAATTGCTTCTGTGGATTTGCCACCTGACTTTTTTTGGATATCCTGGGAGGTGAAGGGCTCTGGCTGCCTAAAGGGATTGAACTTTTCACAGTGAGGCCCTGACACTTCACATGAGGTGGGTTGAGACTCTCTCCCAAAGATTTCCCTCCAAAGCACAGATATCAGTGCCCAGATATGTCACAATGGCCTTGGAGACCTTGGTGGGAAAAAAAGATACAGAAACCTGCACAGAAAATAGCTGGAAAGAACAGAAACAACACAAAACCAAGGAAAACCTCACGAGTTTCCACATGACAACCAGAGCAGAGGGAAAGGCAACAAAGACAAAAGGTACAAATGGGTAGGAGAGCAAACACACAGCAGAAATGTTGAATATATTTGAAGTAAAACTGCTTTTAAATAGTTTCACACATTAAATGGGTGAGATTCTGGGGGAAAAAAAAATAGGTCAGATAATCTTTTATTAATCAGACTTCATTCAGCTTTCTTTGCTTTTTGAATGTGATAACTCCAAAATCTCATCTAAATGTAAATATTGGTTCTTAAAAGATGTGTAAATCCACTTAATTTATTACCAGTTCAATACAAGAATACAAAATGGTATTCTTTTTTCTCTCTGTCCTGAGAAAACAAGTCTTCTATTTTTCAGTACTAAAAGAGCTCAGTCTTTTTTATTCTCATTAAGCAGGACAAGTGCCATTTTTTCCTTTATTGAAATTACAGGAAAGCACGAAAGTCCCTTGTCTGGATGGATTAAAGAAACCTGATTTGCTCTTCATTACTGACCTTAACTCCAGGAACTGGTTATTGTTCAGCCTTTCTGGTTGTTTTAATCTCCCCCTGAAAAGCTCTGCTAAGTGTGTTCATTAAAGCTCATCAGATGAGTCACCATCCTGGGCCTGGAGTCGCTCAATCAGTTAAAATCAGGCACACAATAATTGCCATTTCATATTAAACTCTGTGCTCATGCAGTAAACTCTGGTTCTGGTGGGAATCAGCACCTGATTGTGGAGAAGGTTTGAAGCTGCTCATGCATGAGCTGGCTCCCACATCACTGAGTGTTACTTCTGGGTTTTTGTAAATCAACATCACATTTCCCTTTTGCCTTCAATGTGCCTACAGAGCTTCAGCAGGCATTTGGGACTGTGGAAGTGGTTAAATTATGGCAAGCCTGAGTTTGAGAATAGCCAACAATAGAATCTTGAAGAAAAACTTTATGAATGCAAAATCACCTCAGAGAGAAATATTTTTTTAAAAATACAGAGTCTTGGCATGTGCCAACCAATTCCACACTGTCCCTTTGGGTCGCTGAAGAACACCCACACACCCTAAGCAAATGAACTGCTTCCTGGGGGAAATCCTTCTGACTACTGCCAAGAGAATTTTCTGTCTAATAATCCCATTTCTACTGATGGTCAGCTGTTATGTGATGTTCCCATGCAATATGCAGCACTTTAGCATGAGGGTGAAGAGGAATTTCTGGTTTGTATCCCCTGTGTTGGTGCTGTGGGACACCTGAACTCAAGCTGTGGAGCTCTCCTGGAATTCTGATATGTTTAATTGATGATTTGGGCATTTTAGTGAGAGGCCATGTCTGGTTCTCTTTTGGAACAGAAGAGGCAGGCAGGTGAGAGATCAATCATAACCCCAGAAACTCTCCATGACTCCAAAGACAGTCAGTTACCAGAATTACTGCAACGTGCAGCCCAGCCTTGGACTGACAGCCCTGCAGCTCCCCACGTGTGCTGCTGCTGAAGAAGGAGGGAGGCATTTCAAATGGTGCAAGCTGCTGCAGCAAATTAGGATTCCCATTTTCCCTCTCTTCCGTTACTGAATGTGTGTCTCAGTGTCACATCAATAAACCCATCAGCAGTTCTGCAGTTGCAAGGTCACTGGTCTCCTTTAAATAATGACTGCGAGGAGCCACTCCTGACCTGAGCAATAATCACCATTTGCTTTGCACAGGAGGTTACCCTAAATCACTCTGTGTCTGCAGGGACCACCTGGGAGCACTGTGGGCCTTGATTTCCTGCCTGGGGAATAGAAACTTCTTTTAAAATATTTTTGGGGGAAGGTGAGACTGTGGCTGGAGCAACCTCAAGCCGCAAAACCGCGCTTCACCAACAAAGAGATTCCTTCCCAATATTCATTAGCTTCTTGTTTCCAAAAGACACCCGAGTTTCCTTGCAAGCACAGCGAGTTTGTGCCTTTCCCTGGAGCAGAGAGAGAGGCAGACACCAAGAAACAATCACTCACCATCTTGGTGGTTACCTGAATCGGCCGGGGACTTGCTGCGGCGCATGGGCGCGGGGCTCTTGGCCGAGCTCTTCTGAGGGGTGGGCGAGGATTTGCTGCCCGTGGCACCTGCTGGGCTCCCCTTCATCACCCGGCACTCTGGGGAAACACAAACCCACCTGGTTATGGCCCTGCTGCTCCCTGCTCTGAACAGCTCAGTGCCCGGTCCCCAGCGAGATGCAGGAAATCCCAAGGGCAAGGGAAAAGCTGACACCATCCCTTGTTCTCCAGGGCTGAAAGGAGACTCGTCAAGGGCAGGGCAAAGAGAACAGCTCTGCTCCTCTAGAGGAGCTGCTGAGGCTCTGTGGGTGTCAGGCCGGCTCCTACCTGTGTCCCACCAAACATTTTCTGCCCTTCCCCTTCCCTTGGCTCTCCTGAGCACAATGAAAGTGGCCAACACTGCCTGAGGGAACACTCAGGCCAAGAAAATCCAGTTAATTTGCTGTAGCCCTTCCATGAACACCCAGTACCAGGAATGATGAGTGCCCTTTCTGCAGGTGCAGAGAGCCAGCAAACAGCTTGTGGTGTGCTGTAAATGGAGTCTCCAAGTGGCAGATGGGGCAGCTGCCCCTGGAGGCTTTCACCCAGCTGGAACCAGCCTCTTCCGTCCTCAACAAGCTGCAACTTTTCAGATGCACAAAGCAAAGGAGACAAAATGGTTTTACAAAGCACATCCTCTGTCCTGGCCACTCGTCCCTTTCAGCAAGGTTTGTATAAACAAGCCCAGCAGATTTATGTACTGGAAGATGTGAGCAGATGAGGACCCCAACTGTGCTTCCTTAAAAAATAAATAGGCCAGGAAGAGTGGAAAATGTAAACATGGTCTGCAGAGTCCTGCAGAGGGGAACTGAAATGCTAACAAACCTCCACGTGTCCCAGGATTTCAGGCATGCCTGATCTTCAGAACTGGGTTTTATTTACATTGAGAGCTAACAGAAAAGGAACTTTCCACCCCTCAAGTTATTAACTTAGCCCAGTTAAGAAGAAGGCAATAAAAAAGGGATTTCCTTTTTGTCAAATGTTAGCTGGTTCCACCTCATCTCCTCCAACAGCTTGTCCTCACCAAGATGTGAAAAATGTGTCTTTTTTACAGATGTGAGTTACGTGTTCCACATGCAGGCAGTTTTTTATGGAAAAGTTCAGCTCAGCCCCACATGCTCCACACTGAGGACCCCCTGGAATGGAGTCCCCAAAGGAATTAAGGCAGAACCGAGCAGATAAATAATTGGTCAACCAAAAGCAAGCTGTCTGACCTCAATGTATGTGTTATTTAATTATATATCAGTGTATCTATGAAAATGTAATTGCCTTCAATTTTTCCCCAGGCTTTGCTCATTCTCAGCCAGCCAAGGCTCCATCTCTGCTCCTTCTGGATGGTTTGAGAGAGAGTTTTGCTGTTGGGCCCTGCAGCACAAGAATGTCAGGAGAAGAGGCTCCAGGGATGCTGCATGGCAAGAATTAAACTGACAGTCAGCTTATTTTCTCTCCTGCTAAATCAATTTTGGAAATTCTAAATCGGGAGTAGAAAAGGTTGTGGGTTTTTTTCTTCAAAAATACTTGAATTCTCACAGATGATGTCACTTGAAAGGCTTGTAGGGGTCCAGCCCCAATATAGCCCCAATTTTTTATACATGAGGAGCAGTACTGGTGCTGTGAGGGGACCCAAAGGGTGTCAGGCAGCTGTGTTTAATCACCTGGATTACTCACTAAAAAACAATAAACCTAAAAAGTAAAAATACTTCATGTTAGGTCTTTGCAAGAGCTTCCAAATTTATGCTCTTCCCAGGGGAGTAATTCCTTGGAAGGAAACCTGGCTTTGCATTTTCCAGCACAGAAAGGCTGACTCTGAGGAATTCCTCCAGCTCAGCCCTTGGCAAGTGTCAGAGGCAATCCCTGAGCTTTTGCAGGAGGTGGAAACCTGGCTGTGCTGGGGTTGGTGTGAAAAGGCCTCTAAATGTCACCAAAGTGTGACATTTCCACCACGCTGAAACCCGTGGGTACAAAAGGGACAGAGCAATGTCTCTGGAAGGTGCTCAGCAGCAGGATTAGAGGGTGGAAGCTGTGGTGGGCAGCCAGAAGGAAAAAGATGACATAATCCTCTCTTGTGCTGTTTCTTTTTGTTTCCTGACGTCCTGCCAGAGTGAACATAATAACCAGCAATCCTGGTGTGTGTCATCCAAACAGGCAAGAGAAATTTCCCCGTGACAGAGGAGATTTTATTAAGTGACACTCATCTGCAGAACCTCAGGATTTGCAGCTCTCCTGGCAGCATCTGCCTCGGAAGGAGGAAAGGTGATGGGTGTACAATGGGGAAACACTGCTGAGGCTCCTCATCTGCTCCTGGGAGCTGCAGGGCTCCTCTAAAACACCTCTGGAGCTGCTCACTGCCTTCCCAACAGCAAACTTGGCTTCTTCCTGCCAGAGAAATCCAAGCTGGAGAGGTGAGCAGTGCCCAGAAGTGGAGGCAGAGGGCTGGGATTTCCATCCAGTTGTTCTGCCAGCACTGCATCCAAGCTGTTTTCCAGCGTGGAGCTCCCTGAGGAGCTGACTCAACTGCTGAGTGGTGAAAAACAACGTGAAGCTCAGCTTGCAGATCACTTCCCCAGCCTGACACAGGCTTTATTCTCTGCCTGCAAAGTCTCAGCTGAACCTTGGAAACTTCCTTTGAATCACCCCAAGACCATCAAATGGGTTCATCTGGAGTACACAGGTCAGAAGTAGCAGCACTAAAAAAATAAAAATCAGGCTTGCAAAGGAGTAATAAAAAACTCAGTGTTTGGAGATTAGAAGCTGCTTGCCTTCCTGCATCCAGCAAGAATCCTCTTTGGTCCCCAATACAGAGCCAGTTTGCAGCATATAGCACAGGAAGGGGCTTGCGTTCCTCACACAGCACACCTAGAGCTTTGGGAAGTGTGCCTAGATGCTTGGAGAGCACATTTCTTTCAGTTTAAATGGCATTAATTCCCTCTTGCTGCACTCACTGGCACCTGCAGACAGGTGGGTACAGTTGCCAGGTGGGGTGGGTGGTAAGGCCTACAAGCAAGCTCTGTGTATTCTGTAAAATCAAAGATTTCATGGTGTAATTGATCACAGAGACTCACATTATTACAGATTTCTGCTGGCAGTGGGGACAAGGAAAAATAATGATGCTGTCCCAGTCATTGCCCTGCTTTTTAAATCAGCAGAAGTAAGCAGTGGAACTATGATTTTTTTTTTTTTCATCTCTTGCTTGTTTCCATTTTTAATATGCATGTGTCTACATAAGGATGATTAGCTCTCAAGAAAAATGCATCTATCTGAATGTGACTGGAGAAAATTGAAACTATAAACGCTCCCAGATTTTGCAGTAAATGTCAAAATGCTGTAGGACTTAATTTATTCTGACTATATCTCAGTCAGTATTTGCCTGATTATAATACTGCTGACTGGATAAGTATCACAAAAGTGTCCAGACATATTTTCTGGAAAAATCCCTTCGGCCAGGATTTTTCTCCTGGGAAGCTGAGAAGCCTCAGAGAAAAGAAAAACAATAATTATCTGATTTGCTGCTCCTGTGTTTTGCTGCTTTGGAATGTGTTTGGAGATTGTTTACCCACAGGTGATTGTTTAGTTGGTTTCATTTGAGTGGTTTTGACTCAATGGCCAGTCAGTGCCAAGCTGTGTCAGACTCTAGAAAGAGTCACAAGGTTCAGTATTATCTTTTTAGTATTCTGTAAGTATCCTTTTTGTATTCTTTAATATAGTTCAGTTTAGTATTCTTTAATATAATATAGTATCATAAAATAATAAATTAGCCTTCTGAGAACATGGAGTCAGATCCATCATTCCTTCCTTTGTCTGGGAACCCCACAAATACAATACAAAGGGATGTTAAATTCCATGTAGTGGGTCTTAAAACCCAGAGGAAAAGCAGGCAGCATTTTGCTCAGGCAGGAGCAGGAGAATGGCAGGGCAATAAAGGCGCAGTGTGCGTTTGGTGTTACCGCTCTCATCCAGGGAAAAGTCATCCTGTGCGTAGCGGAACTTCTCGGGGCCACAGGCGATGAACACATCATCATCCCCAAAGAAATCGTGGAGACAGGTCACCTGCAGAGGGACAGAGAGCAGAGTCATGCATTGCATCGGTGACTGGCAGCGTCCTGATGGGGATCTGCCTCTCTGCTCTTCCCCCACCCCAGGTTAACGTGGTCCTGCTTTCCCTAGGGCTGGTGCTCATCACACAGCTGCCCTGGGCAGCTCAGGCCTTACAGAGGCATTAAATAACCCCAAAAAACAGAGATAAGACACCCAAACCACTCCCTTGCAAGTTCTTGGAGGTCTGGCATTTCCCACCCAGCTGACAGGATACATCAGTCACCTGAAGGAATGACACAGCCACTTCTAAAATAAGAACAGAGGTGTCCCTGTGCCACACTGGCAGGGCTATGACACCACTGCCTGTGCTGGGGGTGTCTTGGTACCCACAGGGCCTAAACCCTCAAAGAATCACTGGGGATAAGCACAGATGTAAAGCTGTGACTCCTCCTGAGCAATCCTGATGACAAATTTTAAAGCCAAAACGTTTATCCATGGTATTGGTGGAGAGGCCCGAAGTACAACAGGACAACATTCTCACCCCAGCACCATTAAAATTCAGATTTACTGCAGCTGTTGTGGCTGCCTCTCCCTCACTGAGTGCCTTGCTCCCCATTTTTGCCATCCTCAACAGGAGGAAGTTTTATCTTGTAGCACCTGGAACTCCAAACTCTGCCTTGCCTTGCAGCATCAAACAGAAATGAAGCACAAGATGTGGGAGCCCCAGATCCACAGATTTAACCACAGAACTGATAGCTGGGAGTTTGGAAATGTGAACATGCAATCAGGTTGCTGAGAGAAAAACTTAAAATGCCATCAGGCTGGGAGCTCCTCCCCATATTCAGCTGGCAGAGATCTGCAGATGATGGACTTGCATTAACAATTCTTAACAATATCCTGATATCCCAGATATCCTGACCAAATGTTGTGTCAGGAGCAGCACAAATGCTCATCTGCAATCACTCCAGTGTGGAACAGCTCCAGCAGAGCCAGCCTGGGCAGCCACACACCCCAGCACCCAGCAGAGCCCAGGGTGTCTTCCCAAAGCTCCCCTTTCCCAGGAAAACATTTCCAAGCAAGCACAGGGTCAGCTCTGGTGTTTGTAATGGAGGTGAGAGGCTGAGAGCTGCTGCTGCTGCTGCTGACCAGGGTTACCCTGTGTGGGCACTGGGAGGGACTGGAGAGAGCACTGGAGAACCATGGGGAGCTCACTGGAGGCAGAGCTGAGCTTCTTGGAGCTGGACTGTGAAAAGTTAATTTCAAGCTCTAATAAATCGACTGTAAAGAAGGCTTTTGGCTATCTTAATAAGGCTCAGTATTTCACACTGGTGAGTATAATGTATAATTAAAGCACTGCCTGTGAGTGCCAGCTCTGGTTACAATGCCAAGCCTTAGTGAAAAGCCCGTTTTTCACGTTGTCATGACTTTCAAAATGGAGCAGGCTGAAATCTGCCATGGCTTTGATGATCAGAGTTAGAATTTTATCTGCTAACTCCAGTGAATTCCTATTTCTGATTGTCTAAAATTAGATTGAAAATAGCTGTCTTCATCTATAGAGAATTCTCCCAAAGAAAAGATGACATTTCAAACCAGCACTTGGTATTACAGCCCCCACCCCTGAGGATGTGTGGCACTCGTTCATTTGCAAATAATTGGGTTTGGCTCAACACACCAGTTCCCATCTGAATGCTAAGTACCACACTTGTGCCACTGAAGAGACCCATGGGCTGCTCTGCTCCACTGTGCAGTTAAATCTGTGATCTAAAGTTGGATCAAAAGGCTTCAGAAATTTCCCAGCCTTTTGCATGACATCAGAAAGAACCCACAGATGCTTTTGTTGTCTCCAGGTCAGAAGTCCAAGTGTGGATTTTGTCCTTGACTGCCCACAACCACCCTGAGCAAAAAAAACAAAGTCCAGGCAATCAAGAAAATCTTCAGATCCAAGAGTCCAAACACGATGGAGAAGTCCCAGAGTGTCCAAGGACAGGAACCTGACTGCATTTCAAAAAGAGATACTTGCAAGTCATTTTTCTGCATGCCTGCCCCTCCAGAGAGCAGTTATTGTGTGTAAATACACCCAGCAGTTATAGCTATATATATATGTGTATATATATATATATAAAATAATAGTTATGAGCAGCTGGAGCACTGGAGGCTGGTAGAGAATTTGATAATCTACTTGCTGAACTCTGAATATTCAGGAAGCAATCACTTCTGCCTTTGCCTTATTTGTTCCTTTTTGGTTTCCTGTTGTAACTTCCACTACTAAGAGCTCACCACAACACAGCAGAAAGGACAGCCAAAACCCAACCCCAATCTCCTTAAATAGTGCAAAACTTTGCAAAATTCAGAAAATACCTGGGCTCCTGTGCTATGGGGCCTGTAGCTCTGTTGCTTATGTTCACCATGTGTGTGGTATTTTCTATTTACCTTTTGTTTATTCAACCTCAGCCCTTGATCACTGCCCTGAGTTCCTGCAACACGTCCCAGATGGGTTCCTGCCCACAGGAAGTCACTGGAGTAAACTTTCCTTGGGGAAAATGTGACTTCTGTGCTGGATCTGAGAGCACCAGAGCCAGATTGTCTCAGGGGGGCATGGAAAAAGAAACCCACCAGGATAAAGCCCTGGATATGCTCGTCCCTGAAGGACATGGAGCTGGGAAGTGGTGCCGTGCTGGGATAACTGGTCTGAGACCTCATTAACCAGTATGGAATGTTTAAGGGCTGTTCTTGACAGGCAAGGCCAAACCTCTACCTGCACTAATGTTGGAGAGCCTTTTAGTGACTCCCAAATAACATTATTGGTCTTCTCTCCATTCTTCAGAAGTCTTTTTTCTGATGTTTTCTCCATTTAAACAAACAAACAAATTAATTAATTAGTAAATGTAGTACAAGTCTCCCCCCCCCCCCCCAAGCAGTGTGGACTTTTTGAAGGAATATTTTCTGCTTTAGCTTACTCTGATCTATCACTCTAATTATATCCAATAATTCACCTGGAACACCATGAAAAAAAAAAACAACCATGAAAGAAGGTTCATAGCAATGAAAAATTTACCCCAGATGATAACCTGAAAATATTTTTTTAAATACTGTGTTTTGCTTTTAGTTATAAATTTATTAAAGCACAGAACAAAACCCAATAGTAGCCAGCTAGTGCAAGGAGCAATGCTGCCACTTGAAAATGGTGATTTTGTTGGTGGCTGTTGTCATGCACCCTCAGCAATGACACCAGGAACCAGCAAAATAGGAAAAATTTGTCTTTCTGTAGTTTTCAGTCTACAGGCATTTTTCATCTATAACCAAAATTAAACTGGTGTTTGTGGCTACAGAACACAAGATAAATAGCATTGATTTCCAAGCATGCCTTTGTTTAAGGGAAGATAATATTGAATTTGAAATTCAGGATTGAAAGGACAATATTGACTTGGGAAAGGATCATACTGCATGAAATGTTTACTCTCCAATTCCTGTAGCTTAAGCAATTCCAAGGAAGGAAATCATATCTTCACAGCCCTGGCCATGAGGCACAAAATTATTTCTTACAAAGTCATTATTCCTAACAGATCTGATGGTAGCATTTTTCTTTGTGCCAAGGCCTGATCTTTAAAAACCCTTATAATATATATTATGGAAGAAGTAGAAGGCTGTAGAGATTAGTTTGCAATTCCTGAGGTTTTCCTTGTTAAATTAAATCCTTCTCTGCTTGTATGAGAAAAAGCTTCCCTGAGAGGGCAGCCTAGCTGGGATTTCTGCAGTGACAGTCCATCAGTGTCTGCTGCAGCAATTTTAATTGCAGAGAGGAAAAGCTGCAGCCTTGTGAGAGCTGCTGAGCCCCTGCCTCATTTTAATACAGCACTTGTAGAACTAAGCATTTTTCAGGATTTTGACAAAATGGAGCTTGCCTCACACACATCCCTTGGTGTGAGCTCACAGTTTGCTGAAATGCCTGTGCTGGCACAGGCAGAAATCCTGTTCTTCAGAGTTCACTTGGAAAAGGAGCAGCAAAACCACAGGATCTGCACTGGCACAGCTCAGAGTAACTGGCTGTTCCCAGCGTCCTCCAGGAGGCAGCAGCAGAATTTAGAAACTGTGATTTATTCATAAACAAAACAATTAAAAATAATTAGAAATAAAAAGTTTTGAGGACTTCAGCCTCAGCCTGAATCACCCAGCAGTGCAGAGCCTGGGCTGCTTTGAAGGGTTGGGATTTCCCAGCTCCTTCTGCCCCTCTCTGTCCCTCACTGTCCCTCACTGTCACTCCAGGACAAACGTGGCCACAGCAGTGACAGAGGGTGAACTGAACCATCCTCTTCACCCTTCAGAGAAGTGTCCTTTTCAGCAGAAAATGTTTGTATTTCCAGCACTCTCCCTCAGTCATAATGATTTTGTAAACCATTCTCTCTGCAATCTCCCATTTAGGAATTTAGGCAGCACAACAGTGATAAGTACAGAAGTAGCTTCAAAGTCCCTAAGTTTCTGCAAATCCAATGGGTATGTTCAAAGAAAACAGATCTCCACTTGCTTTCTTTAAATCATCACGGTTCTTCAGCTTGTAGGCTTCCAAAGGTCAGAACAGGGGGAAAACTGTCTACAGAAAAAGCCAAAAAAGGGCCAAAAAGACCCCAGAAGACAACTGCATGCCTGTAAGAACAGAGCTGAATTAAGACATACTCTCATTTTCTAGGCTGCTTTGATAAGTGCTGTAAAATTGATCAGGTCCAGTCGTCAGATAAATACAATTAATGTGCTTTAGGTGCCTGCTGCTGTCCTTTCTCTCTCAGCACTAAGCTGAGCAAGTCAGACCAGCAGCCAGACAGGCACCAAGAGCTAACTGAGCTGAAAATGTCACTAAAACCTCTTTAAACTCTGTTTTAAGTCACACCAGCAGTCTCAGGGATTTATTTACACTCCATCAGCTGTACTCCAAGTCAGACTGGCAGTGGCCTGCTTGTTCCAGGTCTGAGGAGCCAAAGTCCCGAATCACAAAGGAAATGGTGCTTTATGATGGATGT